ACTAACATCAACTATCTCCCATCTATCCCGATCTCTTTTTTTCACTTGTAGGCCTATGGCTCATGCATAGAGCAACTTAAACATTAAACAAAGTCTCTAAGACTCCAATGAGGGTCCCACACAAAGTGCGGTAGGGGGCCTCACCCTTGTAGGCTTGTAATAGCAAAAAGGATGCATACACGGCCTATGGCCATTAATGCAAATCTAATTTTTCCAGCATCTCTCCTGCCTTCGTCATCTAATTCACAGTCAAAAGTGTCATAGCCATTTTTCACCACAGATCAAATCCACAAATGAGGAAGAATAGGAAATAACTGCACCAATTGCTCCTCATAAAGTCCCACATGGCGGAACCACCCAACGAAAAGTTAAATCAGTCACCAAAAACAGAGAATTTGACCACAATAGTCTTTGACCAGGAATCTACATTGATCGATATAAAGGGGGAGTTGGGAAATAAAATAAAATAAAATATTGCAGTAATGCAGGGAACAAGGATGGAAACAACCAGATTCAACGACAGATTACAAAAATGAGCAGAAACACTAAAACGTATATGAGCCTACAAACAATGCTCCATGTCCACAAAATCCCTTTCCCTTTTCTCTGGATAGTGGATATAAACCCTTTAACTTTACAATTAATATGTTTTGATGAGTAGAGGTCCAAAAGGATCAAGTTGACGAGCAATGTTAAGTCAATAAAGGGTAATAATTCCAATTAAGGCCATGCTTGGATTGGGGGTAATATATTAGGGGGTAATAAAAGTCAAACTTGAAAAAACATAAGTAATTAGAGGAGTTGTTGTAGGAGACAAGATATTTACAAATGAAATAAAGTAGTTGTGGCATAAGGAAAAAAGAGATGAGGGAATTATTATCCTCATAATGAGGGTAATAGATACCCACCCTCCCCCTAGTGTAACTATTACCCCCCAAAATGAGGGTATTAGTTGCTCTTTCTTCATCTCATACCACACCATCATTACATAATTTTCCTTACAATCATACCATCACTATCTCCTCCTTCCCTATATTCACTTTCGTTTTGCTTAGTTTGACTTTTATTACCCTACTATTATATCTCCCTCAATCCAAGCATGTCCTAAGGAGAAACATCCTAATTCATAAGGGAAACGGGATGTTGTTTCTGACCAAGTGGCTGGTTCGGTGGTTCCTATCCAAATTATCCCAAAGTCCTGTAGTTTAGATGATAATTTTCAGTTCTCAGTTCCTAAGAATAAAACAATCTAAGTGGTTTCCATAAAACAGCCTCAACAATGGCCAGTGTGGGTGGGAAGTATCTAACGTTTTTTTTATCAGATTAATGTTTCCATCGGTGCTCAATTCAGTTGACCACAGGCTATTAGATCCATGAGGCCATATTGGAGGTGCTATTTCTTGTTGATAAGGGACAAAAGACAGAGACTTAGTTGGATGTACGCAACCTCACTTCTATATAACATGGAGACTCTCTTTGCTATCCAATGACCATGCTTAAAATGAGGAAAATCAACAAGGGTAATGCTTAACTAGTAAAGTAACTATGGAGGGATAGTGGTGATTAGGTTCTCCTACTTCCTCCAAGATTCTATGTTACTCAGACATGCCAAGAGTGCCGGACGCCCGGACTAGGATACAGTGTCCAAATCCGACACACATGCATATTATAGGATCACATCTAAATCTAAGACATTAATCGCAAGATAAATGCAGGATCACAATAAATTCCTCCACACATCAACCACCCCTAATTTTATCCTCAAATATCAATTCCCAACACCCCCAATTCATTTCCCTCATTCCAAGCACGGCATAAAAGCAACTCCTCTCACATCACATTGAAAATGTACATTTGCAAACAGGTAACATAATAGTCGGTCAATACTAAGATCAAATTCAAGTAATGCCTCACCATAGAGAATTCCTAATGTAAGACCGCACACGACAGCGGTAACACCCACCCAGATCGCCGCGCTTTTAACCCGCTTTCCAACACTCCTGCAACCACAACAACCAAAAACCCCAAAATCACACCCATCAACATCATCAAACAAAATTCAAATTCAAAACCAAAAATTCAATAAATCAGCAGAGCAATGTACCATACTTGTCCTGGTCTCCCTCATAGTAAAACATAGCAAAGGGAATCACAAAGAAAACAAGAATAGCGTCGATGATATAAATAGCAAGCCAAAGCTGCTTCATCGGCAACGTCAAATGACAAGCGCCATTATAAACAGCATGACGACAAGCATGCCGATTAGCGACGTCAGCAGGAAGCATAAGAATGGAGATAACAGCAACAGAAAGCCCCAAAACGACGACGAATTTAGGGAAGTAAGCTTGATTAACATCATCAGGATGCTGGTAATTGATCAAAAGGTAGACATTGAAGACGAAGACTAAAACAGTTACGATAATGGCGACGAGCAGCAATGCTAGATTGAAATCCCCCATTGCTAAATTTGGGGATGAATTTTTTTCTAGGGTTTGAGTTTTAGATCTGATTTTGAGGAGAGAGAAAGAGATGAAGGTGTTTTTTTTTTTGAGTTGATGATTGTTTTGAAGGAGGTAGTGGGGGTGTGGAATTTTAGTGTTTTGACGGTTTTGTCCTTAGGAAATGGGTTTAATTACGGGTTTAATTTGGAATTTGGGAAATATGAGAAGGGTAGTATGGGAATAAGGGGAAATTATGTTCAATTTCTTCTGGTTTGAAATACTAATTCTGAAACAACCTGTCTGAAACCGTAAAGCATATTTGCTTAATCATTTTCCTTGACTCACTCGTTGTATTTTTGTTTTTTGTTAATTTATGGGAAAATTCAAGTTTATCTATGTGATAAACTTGAAAATATATCTCCTCTCACAATATATTGTTTTATGTTTATTTTCAAAATAATAAAAGTGAAATAATAAAGTGGCACAAAAATCAATGCGAGAAATTGTTAGGGGAGATTAACTTGAAATGTTAATCTCAGAGATTAACTGGGGCTCCCTCTTAATTTATTTGTGTGTGTGTGTGTTTTTTTTTTTTTTGAAGGAATTTTTTTTGTGTAATTCATAAAGTATTATCCCTATTTTTTCCTAATGTCTCGATATCGCCAACACATATGCAAAATTTTGATTAATTTAACATGCACATTTGTCAAGTGGATTTTTTACCAATAATTTTTTAATATTCAATAATTATAAGTATGAAAAGTTGATATTCGAAAACTATATATGCTACATATTATGTTTAATATTCTATATGTAGCATAAATATTGGTCAAATTGGTGTATGAAAATAGTGTAAAATTTAACACGGGACATTATATATATAAAGTTGATATTTGAAAACTATACATTGAAACAATTCTAACAAATACCTCCATATAATAACTATGTAATCATGGAGTATAAAGCACAAATATTGGTCATATTATTGTATGTGAATAGCGTAAAAATCAAAATATGGCACTTAAAAATATTAGTTCTTAATTCTCATCTCAAACTAAGATAAACCTGTGTGGATATCCAGTGGCGGATCTTGAAAAAATTTCTTTTAGGGGCCGATTAAAACTAAATACATGACATACATATAAAAGTACACAACTAAATTAAGAAAGTAATGAAAGAAAATGAGAAAATTGCCAAATTTATTATAATGAATTAAGCCAAATGCAAAGCAAAAACCCTTAAAATAACGAGTGTCACAATCTTATTCTTAAACAAACAATTAAATTAGTATGTATAAGAATTACTTCGTAAAACTTATCTATGAGTACTTGATTAAAGAGAAAACCTTTTGATACAGAAGTATTGTTCATAGCTCCCAAGAAGCTCAATTGCCAAATTGGTGGTAAAATCCCATTAAATATTGTAGTTGTAACTTGCAAGTCTCACATTTGCTACATCCTAATCCTACTTTTCATATAAAAATAAAACAATATTAAAGGAAGCTATGTGGGTATTAGATTCCTAGGCTATAAAAGCACGGTAGAATTGTTGAAATATGGGAACCTCCCTAAAGTTGGGCTACATGTGTTTCTTTTTGATGGACTTGTCTAACACTTACCCTAATTTTATTTTGGGCTTGTATTTGGGCGGGGCCCCAAATGGCCCCCTGAATGGTCTGTCACTGTGGATATCAGCTAACATAATTGGTTAAAGTCTTGGGAATTGAAATATTACTCAAAAGGTCAAATTACGAAGTGTGTCTTTCTATCATATTGATGTTCCATGTACTATATTTCATACTCCAATATAGTAAATGCTGACACAGGTGATATTTCTACGACGACAATATTGGATTATTGGTAGATGGCTCGTGGAATAAACATACTCATGGTTTGGGATGGGGGTTGTGTCCAGAAAAAGAAGAGTTTGGTATTCAGGGAATGTTGGGGGGAGCGGCTCACGATTTGGCTCAATCGGCCTTATATGCAGAGATGAATGCTTGTCTTGAAGGTCTTCGGCGAGGAGCAAAACGTTTATGGCATGTTATCACAATTTACAGGTACTCTGTTTCTCTCGTAAAGATGTTAGGGAGGAAACTGTAACGAATGCTAGCCTTAGATGGACGGGGGATGATATTCGCCGAACTAGTAAGGCCTTTGCAAAGTGTAGCGTCCACAATGTTCAAAGGGAACGAGTTCATAAGGCGCATATCCTTGCTACCACAGCTAATAGTAGTTTATCTTCCTTTAATAATGTGTTTTAGTTTGTTCGTTTAAGCTCATGTAAAAAAAAATAGTAAGTAATCTATGTCGTACCAATTCAAAAGCAAGAATTTTGGAAAGCTAAAAGCACTTCGTACTTATTTTTTGTCGATCAATTATTTCTAATGTAATAATAGTAATATTAATTTATTCTAAATTTTACTCTACACTAGTTTTTTTTACAGAACTTATATTACACTTATATTTATTGGTTAAAGTCCCTCAATGTTTTTTCTCCCTACCCGTTTTGTTTCCTTCTGAAAACCCTTGCAAGATTAAAAAAACGAAAAAAATTGGGTGAGTCAGACTCGCGGTGAGTCCAATATATCTGACAATAATAACCTAATATATGACATTACAAGAGAAATATGTACGTTTGTCAATATGTATGTCAAATAACATTGACAAAGACTATAAGCTAAAAAACTTTGCTAGTTCTAGGGGAATGGATAGAGTTGAGCAGTTTTTACAGCAAATTGTTCAACCTCAAACACAAGCAGATACACATTACATTCAGTCCGGTTCTTCAAGGAAAATTCCTCGTCTAGCCACCAGCACAAATGATGCTTTCCAGTCTGCATGCATAAAAGTAAACTCATTATCAGCAATTAAACACAGAGCATATAAGACAAACTATGTCAGACTTTCAATTAACACCACACATTGATGATCATAAGATTTCAGGAAAACTGCAGAAGAGAATCTTTTTATCAGACAAACAGATGAGGCGACATCGATTTAATATAGCTACATAAGCAATCTTGCATGAGCTACCATAAGCCCTTAGACTAGCCAGAAGAAAATAAAAAAAAGATAGCATAGAAGCTGCACAATCTGCACCAAAAGTTTGGCATGTTTGATGACTAAAACAAATTAGAAGAAATAATGTGATGAGCATTGTCATATTTAGATGCATTTGGTATTTGGTAATTAAATACAATGAAGCAAAACGCAACCAGAAGGACAAACACTAGTATTGTTGGATTTGAGTACCTTCACTTTTTTACCAAATGAGCAGTCACATACCAGAGATATTTAACTCTCAAAATTTGCTTCCCCTTCAACATAACGATGAGTGTGCCCAGACTACAGACAGCTTCAGTTCCCCCCCCCCCCCCTCTCTCTCTCTCTCTCTCTCTCTCTCTCTCTCTCTCTCTCTCTCTCTCCCTTCACCCATAGTCCCCAACCCACCAGAAAACAAAGGAGAAGCAAACAACTAGCAATAATATTAAAATTGAAAGAAGAGCTCAATAAAATATGAGCATGAGTGCCAAAAAATCAAATCACTGAACTGAAACAGATAATAAAAAGTACATATACTGATCAAAATGCTTAATTAAGCGGTTTATGCCCTTGTTACAAATAAATTATGCATCTATGCCAGGCAGCATCAAGATGAATTCACCTTCTAACTAGTTATCTGGAGCTCCGAGTGAAGAAGGATTTGGTAACTCTATATAGTCAAAATCATCTGTTATTCCAGCCTGCAGCACAAAGGAAAACTTTATAGAATATTATTTGTAGAACAAGGCCGTCAAAACAACAAGCAAACATCCTATAATAATATACTTTTGTAGTTTATAGCCTCAGATTGGCTACATAAGGACTGACATTTTTTGGTACATCCTATAATTTATACTTTTGTAGTTTATAGCCTCAGAATATTATTTGTACACCATTTGCAATGCATTGAAGCGAAATATAAGGTAATGTCCATGAAAGCAAATAAGCAGTTGAATAATATTGCCACATGAGGTTAAATATAAGATTCTGAATGACACAATCAAGATAAAAGAAAATCTGCAGCAAATTCAGGTTATTAGTCAAAAGATTCTATAAAATAATTGAAAGAACTAGTTTCTGTAATAGTAAAAACTACTTTAGAAGTTGCAAGTACAAAGCAGCTGAGATGAAATGTCACAGGCAATCAATATAGTGCTATAATATAGATGAAGGTAGTTGAAACTTGAAATTGAGTAAATTAAAAAGATACCTCCTGGTACATGTGTTCAAGTTGTTCTCTAGCCTGTGGAAAATTGTTTGCACACCATTGCCGCAACGTGAATATATTGTCTGTACATTGTTTATGAGAGGGGTTATAAACACAGGCAACAACTAGTACAATCTATCTATAGCATTTTAAAGGAAAATAACGGGTTCTAACCTGTCCATCTGTTGGCAGCTGAATATGAAACTTCTATAGCCTTTTCTGCCACAGGCCACATTGACAGTTCAGAAATTAGTCATTTCTAAATGGATCTCAGCAAACTAATTTTACCAGAAAGATCAAAAGACAAAGCAGATATAGAGCAAGAGTATTCTCTTCAGAACTACACAGTTGAACATAGAGAAGAAGAATAAATGTTACTTACTCATTGTCTCAAAAGCAGCAGGATCATTATCTGCATATTGGGCCAGTTCCTCCTATTGAAAATAATAATCAAGTAGTGTTATCAAACTCTCAAAAAAAGATACTTCCTTTTAACAATGCACTGTGACAAACTAGGACAAACCAACCTTCAGTTCATTGTGCTTCAGCTCAACAGATTTTAACTCGCTTAAAGCCTCCTCTCTCTCATCCTTAAAAATTCCAATCACATAGTAAGGCATTGAATGTCATTAATACAGCCAAAACATTATTACAGCTCAGTGATAAAGCTAAAGACTGACAGATTCTTCGCGTCCTTTCTTCAGGGCAGCGCATTGTTCCACCAATTCAGCATAGCGTTTCTTGCTGGCATGAAGATCAGATTCTAGTTTACGAGACACATTCCTAAGCTGTCAAACCATAACTTCAGATTAAATTGTTGAACCAAGTTATATGTTCCCTAAATTTCTAAAAATTCAACTAAGATCCATTGTAAATGCATTACAAATGATTACCTGATTCCCAGCAGTGCTAGGAAGACTCCAAAAGTAAATCTAGCAAAAGAAAGATGGTCAGCCAATCATGCTTCAATGTAACCGGGGGGGAAAAAAAAAAGAAAAACACACTAAGTCAAGCATGATAACGCTATTCGGTGTCACAACATGGCAAGTCATGTTATAATTCTGAGTCCATTAGTAAATCACTTTCAAGTCAAGACATTCTTACAGAACTTCCAATCTTGTCCTTCAAGACAAGGTCATCATCCACAAGACTTTGGATAACATCTTTCACTGATTGACTGATGACACCTTTTTTTGGCCCCACCTTTTCAAGTTCCTTAAGCTGGAATTAACAACAGCAAAACCATTCAGAGTGCAGATTAATACAATGGATGAATGTCCCAAAAAGCATACAGATAACTAAGCTTGAGGAAGACAGTAGTAGCTCAACCATATAGAACCTAGCTTAAGGAGTGAGGATTGTAACATGCTTAAGTTGCTTCTTTATTGCTGCTAACATTACCCTATTCATATGCATAACAATGGTCCACACTTTTGCATTGTTTTAAATCCAAATATCATAAAAGAGGATGTAAGAGATAATACAAAACAGATGCTTTGCACTTACAAGGAAGAAATCTTGTGAGTCATAAAATATCTGAAGCATTTTCTCACGCTTTTCTTCGAGTGAAAGACCTCTCTTCTTGGACTACCACAATCATTTTGAAAATAAACGATAAGAGTTCTCATAAATACTCATTTTAAAACAAGTAGCAGATTCTGTTACTTGAAACAAAAAATTTATCAACAAAACAAACTTAAACAAGCTAAAATAATGTTGTGATAAGGATAAAAAACAAGGCAACATAACAGAATAATGATTCTAAATTTCTAATATTGCATTATCCAGTTCTGATTAAATACACAATTCACACGTCCATACTTTGTAAGTCTATAACGCAAAATGGGTATCATTAAGGGGTAATCAATAGTAATTCAACTCAATATGAACATTCTTGTCCCTCATCCCATGATCCATCTCTAACTCTTCATTCATTCTTATTATCTATGAAAATTTACCTCACTCCCCTGATCGCATAATATGAGTGCACAAAGAGGCTCTGCAAACCTCAATTTTCCTTCCTTTCTATTTATTTTTATATCTTGACATGGAAAATCCGAAGTCAAGTCCAGTTATCAAAAATTTCTCACACCTATTAGTCCCAAAATTATCATAAATTTAAAGCATGTAGCAATGTAGGTCACAGCACTGGCATCCATTTCAGCTCTAAATTGATATAGCTCAAACACGGGTAATTGCCATATTTTACAGCAAGAGTGTAAGACACATTCAATGACAATAATAAGCACTCGTGATGCTGCTTACTCCATATTAAAGTATAATGACAAGGAGATGGGGCTGTATATTGGCAACTTGACAAGCATCTCCTTTCTCAATTTTCATAATTTTATAAGTTGTGTTTAACAAGACTCTCCAAAATTCCCCACATTATTTAACTTACATCCAATCCAATCCTGTCGAGAAAGGAGTACATATCCCGTGCATTACCACGAGTACAAGCTAGTGATATAAATCAGGCCCGTCCCTGAGGCAGGGCAGGAGGGGCGGCCGCCCTAGGCCTAGGGAAAAGAGATTTAATTTCATAAAAAATACATAATTTTAGGGATATTTGATTCAATAATCTCATAATTTCTTTTCCTTTGGTTATGATGTTTCATAATCTAAGAATTTACGAACCCTAAACTTAAAGCACTGATGATTAAATTAGATTAGATCAAATATTAACCCTAGATTGTGAAATTGATATGATGATAACAACAACAAACAACTTACCTTAGAAGCTGCTTCAGTGGGAATACTTAGATTCATCGGAGAACGTCAACTACGCTTCAATGGAGAACGTTGAGTCCGCTTCAATGAAATAACTGAGAGTAGGAGTCCGCTTCAATGGAGAACGTTGAGTCCCCTTCAATTAAAAGTCATGTCTCGCCCGACATATTATGGGTTAGAATGTTAGATCCCTCTAATAAATAAATGGGATGAGTTTTTATATGATCGTCTAATTTTGGGACAAGTGGGTTTTATAAAGGTTTTAAGTAATAAACATGTTTTATTCTTAAAAAAAAAAAGTAAACCTGTTTTAAATATTTTTAAATATTTTCACACACCAAAGCTTGTATCAATTCTTTGTAAGATTTTTAGAGTTTTTTTAAAAAAAAACAGCTGAAATTACATTAATTAAACTGAGTTTACAACAAACGAAAAAACAATAAAGTAACAAAAGTTACTATTGGCATAAGAAGCCCTTACACAATACCAATTATGGTCATTAACGACATTCACCTTTAACATATTACAACGAGTGAGGACAACACAAATAAGGCTTACCAACATTCATTTAAACATGCGATGAGACTATTGATAGAACGAGAGAAGTTGGTGATCATGTTTCGTGTTGTGTAAGGTATTTTCTAACATACAATTAAAAGTCTATGAATGTTGCTGATATGACGGAGAGAGCCCAAAATTAGTATGTCTTACCCTAAGAGACCCCAATAATTCAAATGAATAAAATCCTCTTGAGATCTATGCTTCATTCATGTCAATCACATTTCTTTTCGATTTGACAAAACCATATCTTATACTCCCTTCGTCCCGTAATATAGTTCCTATTGCGTTTTTTTCACGGTATTAATAAAATGGGAGGAAAAGTGGAAGAATTACATTAAAAGTGGAAAAAAAAGCTAAATAAAAGTACAAGACAAGTGGATAATTTAAGAGGAAAAAAGTAAAAAGTACAATTATAAACAAAAGTTAGAGAGAGAATGTGAAAAAAAGTACAATGTAAGTGGATAAGCTAAGGGTAAATTAGAAAGTTGAATAAATAAAGTAAAAAAATAAGGATGTAATGGTCTTTACATACCATCCAAAAATAAAAACAAGAACAACATTTTGGGTCTCTAAAATAAGAAAACATAAACTATATTGTGGGACAGAAGGAGTATATTTTCACATACAAAGTCATGATGTTGTAAAGGCTTTTACCGTCATCACATACAAATGGGTTTAACAACACCTACTACCATCCTCCTTCAACAAGGGCTTATGTAAACTTGAAATTGGAATTTTGCTCCATCTCCAAACAAACATAAGTGACACCACTTTCATTAAAGAAACACATTTTTATTAATGGAACACATCAAACGACTCTATTTCATCCTCCAATTAACCCTGAATTTGACTTGTCTTTGTTTTTCGATCTATTATTTTAAGTACTTATAAAATCTAAATTTTATTTTTTAAAAAAATTCAATTTAATTTATTAATCCGAACTTTCAGCAATTTACTCTCAATAATCTCAACTTACATTTATTCAGGAGCATTATGAACTTTTAGGTGGATTTTCTTTCACTAGGTCGATTTACCAGTGACCTAAATAAAGGGTGGTTTTTATTTTGTAAAAGTCATGTGTGATGTGTCGCAACATAATTGGTCCAAATTTCTTTTGTAAAAAAAGAAAAAAAAAATTAAAAACCCTTCCAAGCCAGCCACCATCCTTCCTCCCCTTAGCCCCAACCCCTAGCCCCACCGAAATTCTACCAGCCGCCTTCCCTAATAATCGATAACAGACGGTCGGCCCCTCCCTGCCCCTAATCACTCTGGCGACCCACCTACACCATCGAAACCACCTTGCTTCCCCCATCCCCAAAACAGCCCCTCCCTTCCCTCGTCGCCCAAGCAGTCGATTTTTTAGCACCCTCAATTGAAGATTATTGTCGTGGTTGTGTTACTCAAGGTTTTTGTAGTAGATTTTTTTTTTAAAAAATGAAAATAAATAAATAAATGGTAGTGTTCTCAAAAGTAGTCATAATAATGGTAGTTGTTGGTAAAATTTTCTTAATTTTTCACAAAATTACCATATATCTAAAGTATAATACCCCCTCGTCCCTTTTTATTGGATACGTTGACTTTTACACGTTTGTCAATACACCTATTTGACTATTAATAAATTTCATTACATACTTTTAAAAATTATAACGATTGAATGTTAATAAAGCATTCGTTGAGACGTATCAAACAAGATCTCATAGGACTCTTTTACTTTTGTGGGTAAATTTGAAGATTATCTAATACTCGCTCTTTCCCATATTACATGACACAGTCAACATTACACACATGTCAATGCAGTACTTTGACGTTATTTGTATATAATTAAATATTAATGAAAATTATTTTAAAAATTATCTCTTGAAACTTTATATATATACCTATTTAACAGCATATTTTATGATAAAATATGTTTTTGTTATGTTAGTAAAAAATTATTATCAAAACTAATACATGAATAGTGAAAAAAGTCTAGCGTCTCATGTATTTTGGGATGAAGAGAGTATTATGAATAGTATTTAAAATCTGAACATAACCAATAAAAAGAAACAGAGGGAATATTATGAATAGTATTTAAAATCTGAACATAACCAATAAAAAGAAACGGAGGGAGTATTATGGAATAATATTTAAAATCTAATAATAACCAATAAAAATGAACAGAGGGGTACCCTACAAATTTAATCATCCTAAAGTAATTGAAACACTTTAATAAACATTTTTGTTGATACATAACATTATTTTACATAAATATTTATAAATTAACAAATTACATAAAATTTTTTATGAATTAACAAATTACATAAATATTTATAATTATAAAAACAAATGATTTATTCAACAAAAATATTGTTATTTTGCCCTGGGCCACCAAAATATCTGAAACGGCTATGATATAAATTATGTCAAATGGAAAACTCAAGGCAATCACACATTTATTAATATAGAAAAATGAAAAGATTGAAAACTCACCATGTTTGCAAAATACTATCAATGAATAATCACCCACCGAATCAAACAGGTTTCCAAAACCCTACAAAATCGAAGTCATCCAAAAGTTAATTAAGACATTCACAATACACTTACAGAAAGCAAATTCAGAATTCAGATGAAAATTAACAATAGAAAAAATAAAAAATGCTAACATAGGTGAAAACAATTACAGAAACCAAAAAGGAAAAAATCAACGAGAATAGTTTCGATAATTTCAAATATATATCAAGCAATCAAACAAACTACTATCATATAACGCACAATTTTGGTCAACTTATCACACAATTTCTCAGCAATTAATATATTACTCTTCAAAATTAACCAAACAAATCAGTAAACCATCAAATAAAAAATTAAAAGGATCAAACGATTAGGCGAATGGAGTAAAAATGACTCGTATGATAGATTAATATTAATAGAAATAATTGTTTTGTAAAATCCGAGTTTAGAGCTAAGTTTCAAAACAAAAGGGGAAATTTGACTAACTTGGGAAGAAAACCTGAAAGAGAAAAGGAAATGGTAGTGATTTAGATGAAAAGTAAGTTTGAAGCTACTCTATTCTAGAAAGCATGGACTACTACTATCTGCTCTACACAAGCCCAATAACCGCCTTAAAATTTCAAAAACAGGCGGTGCAAATTACTATAACGGGGTGTTTGGAACGTGGGAATGGGAGTTTGGGGATTAAAAGGTGGGAATGAGATTAGGAATTAATTGTTGGGAATTCATGAAAATATAACAATACCTTATTTGGATAGTGAGTTGGAATATATAGGAATAAATAACAATTTTACATTTACCCTTATTAATATTTCCTTTCATTATTTTCATTACTGACAAAAATGTCATTTTAAACTTATTCCCATTCTCATAATCCCATCCATTTATTACCTACCCTTCCTAGGTAAATAAATGGTGGGAATTCCCCCTTAAATATTGTGATTCCCAAACCTATTTTTATTCTCATTCCCATCAAACAAACAAAACTTTTTTCTTGAATTGGGATTAAAACTCTCAATCCCACCCTTAATTCCCAAATACCAAACACCCCCTAATGGTTAGAAAAGTGAATCCCTCCTTCTTTTCCCACCAAGAGTTTGCCTAGAGAGTTCCCTAGAGATTTTGGATCGATTTTTCATCATGATTTTTGCCTAACTTATTAACAACGGATTGACCTATTCGAGGTTCTAATAATTCAATACGGAGTAAAATGTATATTTGTACTTATTAGTAAAAAATGATTGTTTTTTTGTCTTTTTTTAAAAAAAATTGATTTTTGTTTAAAAAAAATGATTGATTTTCATAGAAAATGCTTGAAAATAACTAAATTCCTCCAACACGCTACATGTTACAAAAATTATATGCATACCATCCACGCCAACCAAAAACTGAGCCTTTTTTTAAACCTTTAGTTCAATTACGGAATAGCGGTTTAATAATTACACATATACCAAAATTTAGTTTAGTACTACTAGATTAGTCTCGTGTGAAGTAGGATTTGAACAAATAAAATATTCTATTTTTTTTTATACCAAAATTAAATTCTTATTATTAGAGCTCATAAAAATATTGAGTGATGAAAGGGTTGGAGTACCTGAGAAAGAAAAATTAAATTATTATTATTAGAGAGAATAGATTATTTTTCAGAAATTGCTACTAATAATAATATTGTTGACCAAAAATTTAATAAAAAATAAATAAAAACATAAAATGATGACATCATTTATAGTTTTGGAGGGGAAATTTTTAATAACAACATGACATGTGTCTAATTTAAATATAAGATAATGTCAGCGATTCCTATTTTAGTATTAGTTGATAGATAGATAGATAGATAGATAGATTCTTACTCTTAAGTGAATCGGTAAAAAATAATTTGTGTTGATGTGGATGATATATTCGAAATATTGATAAAATGTGTCATAATTATGAACAATTTATATGGAAATCACTCATTAAAAAAAATTACGTAGAAGTAGTAAATAATTTTTTTTTTGCTTCCATTAATTTGATTCCCAATCAAAAATCATGTATTTCATAATACTTTTATCTTCCTGGTTTTAGTATTCCATTCATCCTAATTTAATTGATCTCATCCGTTCTTTATTACTGATTACCTATTTTGTTT